AAGGTTAAAATTTTACTATGATGTAATTTCTCCATCTGTTTTTTTAACTATTTCAAAGCTTTAAAATATCATAACTTCTAATGTAAATATCTTTTTTGATAAAAATTATTATTTTTTTAATCGTCTTGTGGAGATCTTAACAAACAAGACTTGTGTTTAATATGAAATTAAGAATAATAAGACGAAGAAGAAGAGGAAGAAGAAAAAGGCAACATTTTATTGTGTGCGCTATTTTCAAATAGTGAAATTTCACTATGTGTGATCAATAAAATTTCAAACTCTTTTCAAATAGAGAAATTTTAAATTGAGGGTAAAAAAAAAATAGAGTACCTAATTTCAATTTTGGTGGATAAAAAATTTCAAACTGAGTATTACAAAATGGTAAATTATTGCATTGTGTTTTTTTATTCATGGACAATAAAAAAAATTTGTATTTTCAAACAGAAAAATCTCAAATGCAAGGATATAAATGAAATTAAAATTAAAGCATCTCAAATGTAGAAATGAAAATTTTGTAATACAACCATAATGCACCACAAGCCACAAGCTACAAACTATAAAAGAAATTTTGGTAAAAGCTTTATGGTACCAAAATTTTAGACGTTTCTAAGTATATGTTTAACAAAAATATAAAATGATTTTTAAAAATTCAATTCTATTGATTAGATATTAATAAAATTTCGTACAATAAAATTTCAGAGTTTAAGCTGAAAATTTGAGCCATCACCCTCACTAATCACTACAATGATCACAACACTTCTAAATTTTATACTTGCTCCGTTCCAAAATATTGATCCCTTTTGGAAAATCTAGTTTTTTTGGTAGTATAATTATTATAATTCAAAAATATTAAATTTTCAAAACTACCCTTTGATTTATAATTAAAATAGTACAATTTTTTTGGGAGCATAAATTGTCATAATTATATTTTTGTGTATATTAATGTTAATGAACTTAAAAGAAGGATAAAATAGGAAATTCATTTTGTTTTAGTACTTGATTTTTGAAAAGTGACTTATATTTTGAGACAATGAAAAATAGAATAAAGAACTAATATTTTGGAACGGAAAGAGTATTAAATTCCTTACAATTGTAAATATGAAAATTAAATAAACAAAACCCAAAATTGATAAAAAAAAAAAAAAAAAAAAAAAAAAAAAAGGGAAACATTCAACTTGCTTCAAAATCATGAAATTAATTATGGACAGTTCCTAAGTATATGCGGAACATGTATATGAAATAATTTTCAAAAATTCAAACACGTTAATTCGATGTATATATAAAAAATATAAAAATAAAATAAAATTGCAAGTCAAATTCACTATTTAAATAGAAAAATTGTTCTACTCACTTTCAATATAGCGTCATCACTATTATCATCACCATCACCATCACCGTCACCGTCACTAACTATTACAATGATCACAACATTTTCAAATTTTATATTAAATTCCTTACTGTTAAATATAAAAATCAAATAAACAAACTCAAAATTGATAAAAATATTCACTTGCTTCAAAAATCATGAAATTAATTGTGTGTTCCTAAATATATGTCTAACATGCATATGACATAGTTTTTAAAGTTTCAAGTCCATTAATTAGACAAAAATAAAAATTTGAAAAGTTAAATTTTACTCTTTTTTTAGAACACTAATTCCTCTATAATAAAGACAAAGACAACGGTGGCATTTCAATAGATTAGACCTAAAACAAATTTGAAATATGAAAACCCACGTACATAGTGCCCTAATACACTTCGAGTGATTGTCTTCAACCATGTTTAGAGCTTTCAACGCAAAATTCAAGTCAATTATAGTCACAATCTCTATCCCTTTCGTCGTCACAACCACTATCTTCACTGCTACTACAAAACATTCATCGCACCACCATTATCGGCTCTTCCTCTATTGATGTGTCTTCTTTGTCTCTACGTTTTCGTTCTCTCGACAGAGTAGCACAAATTCATTCATTCCATCAAAGACGAGGGAGAAAAATAAAAAGAGGTAAAATTGTCCAATATTTAGTTAGATGTCTATTACTAGGACTTCGAGGACCTTAGGCTAAAATCAGCTGGAGTATATCTTTTATCAATGAGCAAACTGTTGTAAGGGACTATTCATCAAATTTGCCAATTTAATAATCATATCACAAACACTGTCTTTATAGATGATGATCATCTATAAATATACATATCAAAGAATTATTATTCATTCTTATCAAAGAAGCTCTCTCTCTGTCTCTCTCTCTCTCTATATATATATATATATAATCCATGAGCATTATCCATGTGTGTATATATATTGTGTTTAGGGACAAGATTATTTTCAATTGGCAAATCAGTTGGTGTTGTTGGATCCCAGTGGGCTCTCCATTGGATATATCTCCATAATCAAAAGATAGCTGTCACATTTGTTGGGTTTTCAATATCTTTTTCTTCTTTCTTTTTTTCTTTTTAAGAAAAAAAAACTAAAATCTAGTTTGGACAAAAAATACAAAACACTCTTCATTTTTATATGATTTTCCCTTTTGGGTGAGAATATAATTTTTAAAATTTAAAAATTATTTTTTGGTGTTTGCTTTTGTCAAGCTAAATTCAATTTTATGCCCAACAAGTTACCGCTCTGTAATAGTGGTTACAAGATAGCAATTAGGAAATCGTGGCAAATAAAAGAATAGCTATCATCGCAAAGCAACTTTCAAAGAAAAAATAAATTACACTTTACCCTTTTGGTCACTCTCCCATATCAACAATGATTCAGACCCCTTTTTTAGGACACTCATAATCATTTTTGGATCTCAACCATTGATGGTGTGAATTCCACACATACATCAATAGTTGAGATTCAAATGAGATTATGGAATCCCTAAAAAAGGGGGTCCAAGCATTTTTGTTCCAACATTAATCTTAAAAAAAAAAAAAAAAAATCTCACTTGCATGTTTCAAATTTTTCACAAATTAGTCCAAAAACTAACTTATGTAAAAAATAAAACACAAAATGATACATTAACAACCACTTGACATAAAAAGTAAAGGAATTGACCAATAAATTCCATTTTGTGGGCTTGTAATCCGTAAGGTCCTTACAAGACAGCAATTAGGAAATCGTGGCAAATAAAAGAATAGCTACCATTGCAAAGCAACTTTCAAAGAAAAAGTAAATTACACTTTACCCTTTTGGTCACTCTCCCATATCAACAATGATTCAGACCTCTTTTTTAGGACACTCATAATCATTTTTGGATCTCAACCATTGATGGTGTGAATTCCACACATACATCAATAGTTGAAATTCAAAGGAGATTATGGAATCCCTAAAAAAGGGGGTCCAAGCATTTTTGTTCCAACATTAATCTTAAAAAAAAAAAAAAAAAATCTCACTTGCATGTTTCAAATTTTTCACAAATTAGTCCAAAAACTAACTTATGTAAAAAATAAAACACAAAATGATACATTAACAACCACTTGACATAAAAAGTAAAGGAATTGACCAATAAATTCCATTTTGTGGGCTTGTAATCCGTAAGGTCCTAAATGTTTTTTTGGTGACTGAATGGTCCCTAATTTGTTTGTTGACTGTTTTGCCGGTGCTAGTATTATTGGTTGACAGTTGGCATGGGTTTATATGGGAGAAGGTGAACGGGTGTTTGTGTGTCACGTTGATCGAAAAAGCGCACTAATATCTTTTTTTAATTTAGTAGGTTTGCAACACGCGCAAAATGGGACGTGGATTACGTCGTAAGTGTTGTTTCGCACGTGACGTGAACACACACAACAAGGCACACTAAACTGGTTTCAGATTTTCGATTCGGATTTCTCACAACTCGACCCTTTTTTTTCCGATTGCAGTTGTCGTGGGTTTTGAAATTCAAATACTTGTGACTGAATCCCACAAACGTGATTTGTGAGATTGTATTCGAAATAATTTTCAGATCAATTTGGTGTGGGTGTGTTGGGGTTGGGATGATTCTTGTGGTGTGAGAAATCCACCAACACGGAAAATAAACCCCTTTCATCTAAAAACCCCAACCCAGTGGAATGTTCCCACACATTGGCAATCATCCCCATTTTGGAAAGGCGAATTGGTGGCGCATGTCAACGTGAATGTTCCCACACATTGGCAATCATCCCCATTTTGGAAAGACGAATTGGTGGCGCATGTCAACGTGAATCCTACCATTTGTTACGATTATCCCCTTTTCTAATTTGAATTTCAAATAATCGTGATTCTGAAACCCACGTTATAATTCGAGAGAATATTTCACGCAACGTTGGGTGTGAATCAAAATCTTTGTATTGTTTAATTTCGTTGAGTTCGTGGTCATGAAGAACTCTAATACCTTCATGGAGCAATGGGTTTTGCACTGTGAACCCCGCCGATAAAATTTGAGGTGCATTGTCGTCGGCTGCAAAATCTTAATCAGTGTTTGGAAAATATAAATTGTTCATTGTTGAGTTCACGTTATAGATGGAATAAGTGGTGTGATTCCAAAACCCACGCTATGGATGGAGTGCTTGAATTCACGTTATAGTTGTTCAATGTTAGGTTCACGCAAGTTGTTGGGTTCATGCAGTGTTGGTGTGATTTCGAAACCCATGTTATAGATGGAGTGAGTGGAGTTGACGTCAACTACAACACTGTTAGGCTGCCACACAAAAAAAATAGACTCAATGAAATCCCTACTTGGAAATCTTCATAAACGAATTTTCACCGCTCCCACACCACATATCTTGAGATTATATATACCCAAAATAAAACAAAACATTCCCATAAATTATGTAGGCATATTTGTCTAACATACAACCCTCTACATTCAAAAAAAAGACTTATCAGTAAACAATCCCCCTCACATGGACTTGTCAATCAAACACAAACTCAATGGGGTCTTAAAAACAAAAAACTTCAAGGGCCAAACATAAAAAAGGGCATCACCCCAACTAAAACACATGCAGATATAGGTGAACATGCATTCTCATGAAACTAGTGTCATTTTAAGAACTAGAAACGAAATACTCTCAAAACTTTTGATTCTTTTAACCACAGAAAGCTCAAATCCTCATGCCAAAGTAAAATGTGACTGCTACATATGAGTTTCAACAATGAAAATTAACTTTAGTTCAACATCATCCAATTGCGAGTACCAAACACTACCAAAAAGTACAATGGTATTTACTTTGACACAAAGCTCACAGCCTTCTCCCTCTTCTACCGCCCTTTCTACGAGTGCTATCAGTAGGAATTGGAGTCACATCCTCTGGAACATGAAAATTGGATTGTTAAAGTCAAAATTTTCATCGACAAGAATATTAAAACATGCAACTAAAATAGAAACCTTAAACCAATAACCTGTAATGCGAAATGTAAACATTATAATCAGAAATTTTATAGAAAAGATTAATAAGACAAAATGACAAAATAGGCTAAAATAGCTAATAAAACAAAATGTCACATCAAATCCATAATCATTTCACTTTCTCTCTCACAAACATCACATCTAACTACAAAAAAATCCAACTATCTTTCCAAACACAAAAATTTTAGCCTACTAAAATAACTTTCCGAACACCCACTCAAAGATTTTATGGCTCATTTCTAATTTTAATGCGCTAGTGTAAAAGCTAAAAACAATGGATAAAACTGAAACTGGAGAATTAAAAAATGCTTATATCAAGCCCAATGAAACGCAAAGTACCGCAATATTAACAGAAGTAGGCACAAAGTACACAATACTGCGTATAAAAAACTCATCAAAACATTACTTGGTAGCTTGTTACTAGATCATAGTCTGAATTCAAGAAGTCAATAGTACGCAATCATTTTCTTTTTCTTATATTTTTAAGTCTCCAACCAAACCTCATTTTGTGATGGATTTGGCCAAACGCAGTCTAGCAAAATTTTTGAATCATTTCACCATGAATTTCACCCAACATTAAATTATATACATAAAGATATATACCCATAGGCCTAGGTGACCACTATGTGACCATTGATTAAGCGAGTGTTACTAAGTTCACCATTCATTGACTTCCACACAAACCCTAGTAACACACCGAATTTCTGTGAATATCTATGAATCTTATTTCAAATTCATTTTAAAATCCACCACATTATTTGGATAAATCAGTGATGCACCCAGTGTGTTTTTAAAGATTCAATTGAGAGAATAAAAAAAGGCAACTTAAAATAGAACCAAAAAAACTACTTTCAAGAGAACAAGAAAGGTACCAATGCGACCAATTTTCATTCCTGAACGAGCAAGGGCTCGAAGTGCAGACTGAGCACCTGGACCAGGTGTTTTTGTCTTGTTTCCACCAGTGGCACGGAGCTTAATATGAAGGGCATTGATGCCAAGTTCCTATTCCGTAAGAAAAGTCAATGTTAGTAAAGAAAAGTAGCAGTATAAATTAAAATAAATCCAAAATGCAACAAAGAATTGTCCAAACAACCAAACAAAAAACATTAAAGTTTAAAAACTTCATCTATAAAGTTCATTTAACAAAAGAATCATAAAAGTGAGTGATATAATTAAAAACAGGCGGGGCACAAACTAGGTTAAACATATCCAAGAATCTAGAGTAAATTACAATGAGTTCCGTGCTACCAATATGTCAGGGTAAAATTTAATGGTAAAAAATAAATTTTAATATATTTGTTACTTCCCTTTGTGCTACTGTTAGTGAAGGCAAGCCCTGTTTAACATTTTGAAACTAATGAGGTGAACTATATTTATTCCGATTGTCAAGAGAGATCATTGAAATTTACCTAAGAATCTAATATTTATATTCGACTCATAAGAGTAGTAATAAACAAGCAAAATTGAAATTATGCAGAAACCTTGCATCTTTGGGAAACATCCTGTGCTGCAAGCATAGCAGCATATGGAGAAGACTCATCCCTGTCTGCTTTCACTTTCATGCCACCTGGGGTTTTTAGGGAAGGAAAATTAATCAAAGGGCATATATTTGAACATTTTTTGCTGCACTGAATGAATCTCATGATAAGAAGACAAACGAGTTGTCCCTGGCAAGGATCAGGATTTGGAGGAAAAAAATTATGCGTTGTATAGTCACAGCTCAATCAAGGCAAAAACCCTTAGTAGATATTAAATTTTTTGCAATAATAATATATAGTGTCATGCAATTGGGTATACAATCCTTTCTAAAAAAAAATAAAGCTCAAAGCCCCAACAAAAAAAAAAAATCCCGGCCATATATTGATTACTTTCACACAACCCAATACAATAAACAGATACCCTACATTTCAGCAGCAGCCCCCTCACAATAAAACATCAAAAAAATATACATTCATTTTAACACTAAAAAAACAAATATATATATACAAGGCCTTACCAGTGATGCGAACAAGTGTTTCTCTTCCTGACAAATCAGTCACATGCTGCACATTAAACAGAAAGTTGTTTAATTACATCACTCTTTTTTTTTGTGGACTAATTACCAGCTTCAAATAATTCAAATTGCAGAAAAAATAAACTCTATTCATACTTACAATGAATGTGTCATTAAATGATGCAAAAATGTGAGCCACGCCAAAAACATGCTCTCCTTCTCTTACTGTGGGTCCAAGAGTAACATTCTCTTCCTTCGGCTCCCTAACCTTCCTCCTTGACTGTTATGTAAAGAAAATATTAAAATCAACCAACTTAAATGTAAAACAACTCTTATGCATGTAAGCAAATACAAGCATGTCACAAAACGTTTACAAATTTAACAATCAAAAAGCTACACGATATTCACAAAATTTAAAAGATCGCACCATCAGGCAGTGACACTAAATCATAGGGTCTATAACCTGAACAATCAAATTCTAAATGTGAATCTTGTATGGCAGATGGTACTTGAGTTGCATTTGCAAAGGAAGACTTTCCTATATTTTTTTTTTTTTTCCTTTTCTGTTGGTTTTCTTCTTTCTTTTTTCCTATGTAAAACAACTCTTATGCATGTAAGCAAATACAAGCATGTCACAAAATGTTTACAAATTTAACAATCAAAAAGCTACTCAACATTCACAGAATTTAAAAGATCGCACCATCAGGCAGTGACACTAAATCATAGGGTCTATAACCTGAACAATCAAATTCTAAATGTGAATCTTGTATGGCAGATGGTACTTGAGTTGCATTTGCAAAGGAAGACTTTCCTATAATTTTTTTTTTTTTCCTTTTCTGTTGGTTTTCTTCTTTCTTTTTTCCTTCTTCCTTTCTTTCTTTTTTCTTTTGGGCTCTCTATCACATTGCAAACGAATAATTTCGCTTGCTGATACTCTCATTCACACATTCACATACCAATACCAAAGAATACATGACACAGGGTAAATACTGTGTGTTCACATACAAAAATTACAGTATGTTTCAAAAGATCGCTATTGACGAGAAATGATAAGAAATGAAGAGAGAAATATTTCTCACGTTTGATTAATAAGTTTGGAGAGAAATGTGAGAAGTTGAAAAAAAATATTACAATGGGTTTCATTTCGTTGTGCAATTTTCATAAGACTGAGCTTACCCATTAAAATAAAACCGCACACATATCCCTATATCACATACTTCACTTTCTTACCCATCAAAATATGACATTTTCCACCTAGATGATAAACCACAATCATTTCTTTTCTTTTCTCACCTCCACGATCCAAACAGACTATTAAGAAACAATAGGCAAATCAATTACAACATAATTCAATTAGCTATATATAACAAACGTTGTAAAAAAATACTACTTTTTTTTTTTTTGTGCCATGATTGCATAAAATCGGAACTCAGATGGAATCACACATACAATCCAAAAAGACCAATAGTCAAAATCTACAAGTAATTCAATTTAGAACCCTAAAACAAAATTGTAACATACACATTCGTAAGATAGAGTACACAACAAGTACGTATACAGATCTGGTAATGAAATTCTACATATAAATCTATACATATCTAGATTCTGCATACTAGCACATACACTAAATGAATGATGTACAAGAATTTGTGAGAGTAGAGAGAGAGTTTTGATGGACTGTACCATGGTTTTGAGCTGTTGAGACTGTTAGGGAGAGAGAGAGAGAGATGGCTCCTTCGATTACCGACTTCGAAAACCCTAGAGGAAGAACGAAGATGATTTCACTGCGCTTTTATAGGAGCGATGAACTAGGGTTTTACGGAGTGAAGAAAGAATTGGAATTCGTAAGAATAACCCTTAAATATTTCGAAATTAAAAAAAGGCCCCAAATGTTTCTGATTTTTCACGGTTCTCTCCTTCTTTCCCTTTTGGCCCACAAGAGCAAAAGGTTTTGTGGTTCCACTTGTTTCTTATTTATGGCTTTAGGAAAATTTAAACCCTACAAAATTATTGAAATAGTTTTCCCACATGTATAAGTATGAGTTTTACATGATATAGAGCCCATACTCATTTGTGTAATGTATAAATTTATAACAAAATGGTTACAAGGGTTGAAATTGAAGATGATCGCGACAATCGTACTAAGGAATGATGGTAAAGGGAGAAGGAGATGATATTGGCCTGAAGTTGAAAGAGGTGATGTTACAAGACAATGGAAGCTACAATGTGGTGCTAAAAAAAGGTTAATGGTAATGGTGTTAGGAGAAACATAAGCATAAAAGTCATAAAGGGTGAATTTTGAGTAGAGATGATAGTTTGGATTTGTTGGATTTGGTTTACAAAGAGATAGAGAAGAGAAAGTGGATGATTTGTTTAGAATAGTTTATTGTTAGATTGGTAAAGATGATATCAAGACTAAAAAAGTAATTTTGCATAATCTGTTATTAAAGAAAAGATTAGGATGAGAGAATTGTTAGTAATCAAACAGCCTTAGTTATTTGAATAATAATCAAACACAAAGGGAAAAAAGAAGTTCGAAAACTGTTGCTGAGGTAAAGAAATGTTGTTGGCTGACGGTGGAAGTGATACGAAAGGCCGCCGGAGGTGGTGAAAGTAATGGGAGAGAGGGTTTGTTGAATAAAAAATTGTAATATGGGTAGAGGTTTTAGGAAAAGAATATTTTGAAAATTATGGTGAAGGTTCAAAGAAAAATAGAGAAGGAACTAATTTGAAGAAAAAAAATGGAAGGTCTTAAGAAAATAAGTAAAAGCTAAGAATAGCAGTCTTAGACTAATCATGATAAAATTATAGAGTTAGTTCTATCCTTACAAACTTCATGGAGGGCGATTTAGTTTATCCCTTTTTTGAATGTTAAAAAATGATTAGTTTATATACACTTGGAATGTCCTAGGTGCAATTGAAAGCCTCCAATAATCAAACTGGTTTTTTTTTATTTTTTTTCAACCAATGCTCTTCAAAATATGCTTGGAGAGGTTTGTCTCAAGATATTGACACCTTTAAAACTGTGAAAATCATTATTAAAATATTGCTTATAAGCAAACTAAGAGAACCTATATAGAAGCATAACCCATTCACAAGGCTATGTTACATGATATTTAAAAATAATCACAATGATAATAAAATAAATTTGTTTTTTTTTTTTAAATTTTCTATATGAATCCACCATTTAGGTGACGATTAAATAAAAATGTGAATATTAAATTTTCTTAATCAAGCCCAACCCCACTCTCTGAGTAATCTTAGATACTAGGTTAATTCAGGAATAAAAATTCTAGTTTTTCTTTTTAAGAACCAAATAAATAAATAAATAGTTGAAGTTAATTTATTTCATGTTATATTTGTATCACTGATTATGAGATCCTAAGAATGAAATACGCATCACTAATCTTTATTTCCTGCCATCCAAAGTTGGCAAGGATGTGCCCATTCATCATTCCACAACTTCCAAGGACTAGTTTTTAGTCTCGTAACAACTTTAACATTGGTTTTTTCAGATCTGCTTTTTTTTCTTTTTCAAAATGGTCATGAAACTTTTAAAATTTGTTTGATGTTTTCTATATATAAAAAAAATAAATAAATAAATTTGCAAAAAAAAAAAAGACCCAAAAAAAGCTGTGTTCCCAAACAAACACATTACTGAACACTGTCACAGTAAAATGTTACTGAAGATTAACCTCATGTACATTTTACACTAAAAAAATCTCACATGACAAACCAAAAGAGTTCACATGTCACTTTCTCCAAACACTCCGAGAGCTTGCAAATTGGCACACCGTTGAGAATAAGCCGATGCATTAACTAAACAATCCTGCAGATGAATTAAACAAAATCTCTCTCAATTTAACGGATCACTGCATACAATTAAACTCCATTGAGACTTGAAGAATTACCACATACCGGCACTTGTTAATCCCACACTAATTTTGATTGGAAGCGAGAGGACGACCACGTCCCATTGTAAATCCCTTCGTTCCATCGGGCATTCTAGGGCCGGGAGGTGGCTTTACGGGTTCACTCCCATGACTAGAAGAAACTGTTCCATGGCCTAACATTATTATTATCGTTTTAAAGGAAAGGTAAAATAAATAGAGTTAGTTTCATGAATTGAGAGATGATCCCAGGAAAGGAAAAGAACCAAAAGTAAAAAAATTATGACTCATTAAATACCCTGCCCATTGGTGCCACGATATCTCGGTCCCTTTCCCCGTCTTCGGTTTCGACCCTTGTAACCATTTTTCTCCTTTGATATATGGTCCCCATCCTGTAATGAAAAAAAAAAAAAAAAAAAAACATGTTTTCCGCTTTCTAATAGACTTCATAGAAATAACATCATATCATTCATGGGGGTGGTTTTGTAGTTAAAACTCGGTACTAACCTTCAGGTTATGGGTTCGAACCTGAGGACCACTTTGTGCAAATTATCCCAAAGATTAAATTTGTCCCCTATCTACCTCTCCCATACCTCCAACAAATGGGGACTAAATTGGGTGTAATTTTTTTTTTTTAACATCATATCATTCGTCTATTACACCAATGCATCCACCAGAACGGGAAATGGTTCCATTTAATTATCTTGGAGAACAACTTAAGGGCTGTTTGGTGCAGTTTATGTAACTACTGAACTTTTTTATTTTGAAAATATGTGCCTAAGTGTTTGGTGCAACTTCTAGAAGGGGAGAGGTGCTCTTAGCTTCTGCTTTCTAACTACCAGCTTTCAGCTTGACAGATGAGGCATCAAACAGGCCATTAATAAGATTGAACAACTTACAGTTCCAGGAATACCCAACTGTGTTTCATTTGTGTTTATAATTATTATGTTCCTAGGCCAATGTAAATACAACTAAAAATTTAAGGCTCCAATGTTAAGATTGAAGCAACTAACCTCTTCATCGTGCGTGTCATCATGGTGCTCACTTGAATAGTGGTTCTCCTCATCTCCAGCTGGATCAGATGCATGCACATTGTTATTCTTCTCAGAATCCGCTCTTCTCGACCCTTTATTTTTCTGTCCATGTTTTACCTGTAGCACAACACAATAAACTAAATTCCTGCCTATTATTCCCAGGATTGGAACCCAAGGTGACAAAGGCCTTTACCGCTCGCTTTTTGAGAAGCTTAACCCGCATGCCATATCTCCAATCTTGCTCATCATTTAACATAGCCACCTAATCCATTCACCATCAATGCAGACGCATAAATTCCTTTCAATTCATTCCAATATCATAAACAATGTGGACTAGAAATAATGACTGAACTTCACACTCACAGCTTTCTCAGCAGCCTCCACTGTCTCATATTCCACAAGAACGTGCAACTACAAAAAATAGAATGCGAATGATGTTTACTATTAACCACCTTTTCCAGTGAAATTTAATACACACAAATTACACGAACCATACACTACATGCCAAATTAACAGCCAATCAACAGCAAGGTAACAATTTTTAACCATCTCTTTGACAATGATTAATGGGGCAGCTAAAGCGGGTAGGAAGCAAACATAGACATTACAATAACATGGCAAACATCACCAACTGGGAATGCAGGCATCTTTTCAGGCTTCATCTGATTCTCAGGAAGCATGAGAAGAAGCAAAATGATTTCAATGAAGTTCTTCTCTCAAGTACTTCCAAACAAGAAAATGTTTGGAAGTACTTTCATTCACCCAAAAAAATACTTCCAAACATTTTCTTTTACCCTTCATTTCAGAGAAGTAAACAAATCTTCATAGGCTATGTTTATTTATTATCCCAAAAAATAAAATAAAATAAATAAATAAACAATACAAGAAATAAAAAACCCCACCTTCGTAATAGCATTTATGTGTTCATGTGTGTCGAAGCAAGACTTTTTTTTTTTTTTTTGTGTTTCCGAGTGTCCAAAATGTGTCCAAGTCAGAAAATTTTTAAAAAAAATAGTAAGACATGTTTGGACATGTGTCCCACAGATGATAAGTGTCCAATGAGTGTTATGTTGTGTCAGACAAGCCACCTTAAAGGTGTTCATGTTTCTTAGGTTTTTATAAATTTAAAATTAAAAAATATATACACACACATGATAGAGTACTCAGAAATGTAAAATGGTCAGTATTATAGAAAAATAGTATGACCAAATGGTATATTGATGCAATTAAGGATACGTACAATGAGATTGTGATTACAATTAGATCAACGGGAGAAACTACATAAATTTTCAATCACTGCAGGATTCCATCAAAGGTCAACTTTAAGTTCTTACCGATTTGCCTTAGTCATGGTGATGGTGATGGTGATGGTGATGGTGATGGTGATGGTGGTGGTGGTGGTGGTGTGGTAGTGATTGTTGCGATAATGGTGGTGGCATTGATGGGGTGATGGCAGTACACCCCAACGGTAACATAATCATAACAATAAAAATTCAGCATTCAACATTTACAATTAAGTAAGATGTGACTAAAAACTCTAGCCTATTTGCAGGAGGTGCTTTTAACATTTTAAGTGATGAATTGTGGTTATCAAACAGAATTAATTTATTTTCACTAAATACATTCAATTTTAAGTGTTAAATTGGGTTACCAAACACCACCTTATATAACTTTTTAAAACTTTCAACCACTGCAAATATCCTACAAGACAAGAAGGAGATTAAGAATCACTGCCATTCAATCTTGTCTTTTCATAAATAATTAAATATGTAAATCCCACCAAGTTTCCTTCTAGTGCCTCGAAGCTAGTGCCTCGAAGATCTACAGGACGGTAAGCAGACTGAGTACCAAAACTTTAACAAACATCACAGAAATCAAACAGTTATGACAGTATTTGACAAAAATATGGCTGAAGTTTAAGCAAGAAAACCAACATGCATATATTGCTTCACATTAGAAACCGTCTAATTTGATTTCTTACCTTACCACTTAGCAGCTTCTCCGCTATTGTTCGCTTTTTTGGCTCTATAATAACATGTGGATCACGGATGCAAATATTTTTTATGCTGGAATTTCAAAATCATCCTACAGCTGTTAAATATACTAATTGAAGAAAGAGAAATCAAGGATACAACAATATGAAAAGGAAAACGAGGAAACAACATACTTTCCAGCTTCACCAAATATTCTCTGAATATTTTCTGTTGAATGATCCTCTGGTAGATTTTCGACCAACACCGTGCATAACTAAGGTCCATCAATTAGACACTAAAATATTTCAAAAAATAAAATCAGAGTGAAAACATCAAGTTCCATTTGCATAAATACCTTCGGATCCATGACCTCGGCAACTGGAAAGGGAAGAAGTCGCCTCACCTTGCTATTCGAACTTACAACCTGCAGTTACCAAACAAAAGAGTCGTCATGTATATTCCTTCTAAATTCTAACCATGTAGAATCTGAAGAGATAAAAAAATGAGAGACGAGGAGAAAACAAATGGGGGGATTAAAAACAAAAACTTGAAAGGGGGTGCGGGGGAGAAGAAACCAAAGAGCACATGAAGACTGTTAAACCAATATGCAAGTGTTTGTTCCATTGTTTGTTTGTAGCGCACTTACAGCGCATGAGGTACAGACACTTCTGTTGGCCTCACATATTAGTATTCGACAAGTCTGGGACACAAACATTTCCCAGATAGTTGTATATGTTCAAAAAACCGTTGGCATTAAATTTATATATTTTTTACTCTTAGAAATTTTTTAAAATGTTGGCGGGGGTCAAAGTTGGAAAAAAATTAAACAGAAGGAAAACAAATTAACAAGGCTTTTGTCATCACAAGCCCTAACTGAGAGAAAGAAGACAATAAGAAGAGAAGAGAGAAGCAGACTTTGGGCTTCTTAAAATTGGTTATTTCCTGATTGAATACAATATACTGCATGCAATTGTTGTACCTTGTTATGGAAAAAATTTCATGATTGGTGGTCCTTGCTTGTATGTTCTCCTTGTTATACCTTTTTATGGAATTACTTTCTACTACTGTTCCTTTCTTGTATTCTCTTAGAAGCAGAGACTATTCACTGCTTGAGTTTCAGTTGGGTTTATTTCTTGCTACTTGGGGTTCCACCTGTTAGTTGTATGTTTTTATTCTTAATTTGATTAAAATAATGTTGATTTTTTTAGCAAGTGGTCACAAAAATATATTCAAAAACTATTTTTTTAAGTGTCCAACAATATTATTTAGCGCATCCCCAAAGTGTCGTATCATACTTTTCAAAATAAAAGCGTGGGTGGGGTAGTGAAAGTATGTGTCCATAACTGTGCAGCTTCTTAGCTTAAAACCTCAAAAAAGTGAATTCAGTAAATAAATAAAAAGAAATGAATTCTAAAATTAAATTTCTTACAAGAAAAGAAGATTGCTTGAGTGCAGCCACTATTAATGAACTGTCATGAGTGAGCCTTTTCATTTTCCTAAAAGATGCAATGACGGCAATGGGAACTGCAAAAAGGAGAAACCATTTATTTACCCTATAACTTCATAACAAACTATATGTGAACAAATATCGATACAAGAGAATAAAAAAAAAATGGTAAATCAAAGCATAACAAAGACCAAAACTAAAAGCATGACAATACGTAATGCTAAATTAGCAATGGACCTCCACTCTAGACAATTTCACAATTCTACCTCCACCACTTCTAATAACAAACCCAACTAAAAATCTTCATAATATTCTAGCTCATCTGCACGGTTGGGCTTCAAATTGAGCTAAGCAACTAAGTTCAGCTCAATATAAGCTCATTTAAGAGCATCCAAACAAAGGGGGCATGAGCATGAACATAAATTCACTTCAGAAACAAGTCAGTATGAGCATGAACATAAACTCACTTCAGAAACAAGCCAGCAAGAGCATGAGAATGAGAATGAGCATGAGCATGAACTCAATTCAGAAACAAGCCAACCTGAAGCAATCTTAGGCTTGATTTGGTTAGGCTCACAGGCATATAAAGAGTTTTATGTACAATCCATAGGAACATATTAACACTTACAAGTCTTTACTTTCTGAAAGAAAAGAACTCTGTCACCTACCTTAAAAGCCACCAACCAATTGAATTCACCATTTGCATACAAAGTAATATCCATGAGATTATCCTATAATACCTTGGTAATGAATTTGAGGCGAATTGCACTAATAGTTCCTATAGTTTGGGGCTCATTTTACTTTGATTCCTAACTTTTCAATTGTGACACATTTGATCTTGAATTTTGAATCTTGTTTCAAATAAGAACAATTGAAAATATTATTGCTTAATTTCAAGGACAAAATCGTTAATTTAATAAAATATAAACTAATTTGATAAAAATAAATATCAAAAAAATATTTTTAAATTTTTAAAAATTATTTCTACCCACAAAAGATAAAATTATATAAAATTGACAAATCTTTTAAACACTTATTTATATATATTTTTTTTACCAAATTAATTTTTATTATGTGTTTGGATGATAATTATGTGATGGGTAGTTGTTGAAATTTTAATGTGTAATCGATAAATTTAATATATAAAATGTTTTTAGTTTTACATTTTTTTGATTTAATGAATTGGTTTAATAATGATATCAAAGTTGTTGCCATATTTGACTTTTGAAAAAATAAAAACTAATTTAATAAAAATAAAAACAACCACCCATTACGTGATCATCATCCAAAGACATAATAAAAATTAATTTGGTAAAATAAATAAATAAATAAATGTCTAAAAGATATATTAATTTTACAAAATTTTATCTTTAGTGTGTAGAAATCATTTTTAAAAATTCAAAAATATTTTTTTGACATTTATTTTTGTCAAATTAGTTTATATTTTATCAAATTGACGCTTTTGACCTTAAAATTAAACAATGGTATATTCAATTGTCCTTATTTTGAACAAGATTCAAAATTCAGGGTCAAATGTGTCACAATTGAAAAGTTAGGGATCAAAGTGACACAAGTCTCAAACTATAGGGACCGTTAGTGTAATTTACCCATGAATTTATTAAAGTTGCAAATAGTTAGTTGAATGTGATAACCTAGACTCTACACTCTAGTGACAAGAAGTTTGCCTTCCCATTTGGACTGAAATATTCTTTAAGCCAATCTGTATAATGTCTAAAAATTCCACCCCTTAGAACCTAGGTTAAAAAATTAGACACAGACCCAGTTGACAGTGTGAGAGAAAGAGAGAGTTTCAAGAAGTAAATGCACATAAGGTGAATAAGCAATAGCTGCACATTAAGGCACACCAAGAACCTCATTAGTTAATAAATTAAATAATTATAAATACAGGGCAGTCTCAGTGCACAAAATTCCCACTAATGCAGAGTCTGGATCAGTGGGATGCACCCAACATTAAACCCAACCCCCCACCCAACATATACAGAGAGGCTATTTTTCATGGTTTGAACCCATGATCCCAGATCAAAGTAGAACAATGCATACATATGAGGAATCCCATGGAATGATGGAATTCATTAACTATAAAATTAGCCAATGAGACTCACCCCAATCACATCCTACTTCAAAGGGTGTAATGCCAACAACTAGAAAAATTCAACTGGAGACATCCCGGTAGATTTTTAGATTGAGGTTCGTCCATCAAAATATAACAAAATGATAGGACATTACACTAAAGTTCTAATCACTAGCAAGGTTGTTAAAATCAGAATCCTAAGTGGGATCGTTGAAAGGACTCGTGGATTAGATCGTAAAATCGGATTGAGGATCACAAGATTCTACTTTCAATGCAAAATAAAATGAAAAATTATGGATAGTGATAATGTATGTTACAAGATTTTAAAAAGACTAAAGAAAAATGATAAGTTTGATATAATGCACTTTCTATGTTAATATAAATTGGAAGAGATGATTAAACAAGGAGTTTGTGGTCAATTTTTTTATATAGATATACTTATATATACATATAAGAAATAATCACAAAAAATATTGTAGGATCAAAATCGTAATAGAATCGTGATCGTATGCGATTCTACACGATTTTATGAATAAAATCGTAATCACTTTAAGATCTTACTAAATTTAAGATCCTAGTGTGATTCAGATCGTTTGGCCCAACCAAAATCATAAGATCGTAAGATCCTATGATCCGGATCGGGATGATAACCATGATCACTAGGTGACCGAAAAAACAAAAAGCTATGATTGCAAATTTGAGTTCTAAAAACAGAGAAGGAATAAGTAAGCAATTAGTGGCATAATCATTCAGCTAAGTCCCAGAAGTTCAGCACAGCTAAAATTGGCTGCACCAGGAATGATCGAGACTAGACAACCTGTCAAAGCTATGATTGCAAATTTGAGTTCTAAAACAGAGAAGGAATCCGTAAGCAATTGGTGGCATAATCATTCAGCTAAGTCCTAGAAGTTCAGCACGGCTAAAATTGGCTGCTCCAGGAACAATCGAGACTAGACAACCTATCAGAGGTACCCGCTTTACTTCATCATTTTCATCATCTCCATATTAGTCCATAGTTGTCAAAATTTTACAAGGGATGAATCTATTTTGAGATAGAATCAGTAGTGAATAGCTTGATTCACAATTCCATTCATGTTATACAATTCATGTAATTTGTACCCCTTTTAACCTTTTGTTAATAAAATGCCACACAAAAATAACCAAGGAAGCACGGATACGGATACGGGATACGGGTACGGTACGATACGGATACGGCGATACGGCAAAATTCGAAAAAGTAGAATACAGATACGGCGGGGATACGTTCATAAAAAATATTTTTTTTCACAATTTTTAGTAATGTAGCATACACAAAAATAAAACTTCAACAATTTTATGGTAATGTACCTGAACTCATTTCCTAAAATTTATGGTAAACAAATAAAACAAAACATTAATGTAGCATCACCCATAACAACCATAATGCATCATCCATAACAAAAAATTCATCAATTCAATTAAATTTCAACAATTTTAACAATAAAGCATCACCCATAACAACCATAATGCAATTCAATCCCAAATTAAGGGGGAAAAAATTTACAAAGTTTATTTATTTATCAATAAGTTTATTTATGTATTTATTAATAAGTTTTTTTTACCTTATTTGATTTATTAATAAGTTTACAAAGTTTATAATTTTATAAGTTGACAAATTTTATTTTTAATAAGTTTGTTTATTTATTTATTTACTAATAAGTTTTTTACCTTATTTTTTTTATTTATTTATTAATAAGTTTATTTATTTATTTGTTTTATCAGATTTTTTTTTTTTTTTTGATCAGTGTTTTATTTATTTAAGTAAATCGCAGAGTGTATACAATACAACAAATTAAAAAAAATAAATAGGCAACAAAACAGATAAGATCAAGTCGAGAGGGAGGGGAGATGAGATCGAGTCGAGAGGGGGGGAGATGAGATCGAGTCGAGATCTCCAGCCAACCAGACAGACAAATCGAGCTTGAGCGAGAGGGAGAGGAAGAGAGAGAGAGATCGTGAGATCGAGTGTTGTGATTTGTGAGAGGCAGACAGAGGGAGCGAAAGGGAGAGAGAGAGGGACGAACCTAAAAGACGATCGTAGAGCTCCTGTTCGAGAGAGAGGGACGACCTAGCTGCTGTTCGAACTGTCCTCCTCCTTCAACCTAGCTGCTGTTCGAACTCCTTCGACCTAGCTGCGGGTTCGATCTCTCCTCCTCCTTCTCTTTTTTGTGTTTTATTTCATATTTTATAATTTGACCCCTTCTTAAAGTTTTTAAATTATTTTTTTGCCCCGCCGTATCCATACCGTATCCTGAACGTATCCTTTCCGTATCCGAAATTCAAAAATTAAAAAAAAAAATCGGATACTTCATTTCCCATATCCGATACGTATCCAGCCGTATCGGGCGCGTATCCGTGTCCGATACGTATCGGATACGCGTACGGGGGCTATTTCAGAGTATCCGTGCTTCATAGAAAATAACCAATCCCTAAACATGATTTGTTGTTCTTTTGGTAGTCAAAAGGTTTAGAAGGATCTAATCTAATCTAATCAAACCTAATTGTTCCACAAATTTTTTTAAAATTTTTTTGACTTTTTCTAAACAATAAGCAATTAAGCATACACTTTTTAAAGTGTTTTAGGGTTTTTATAATGTCAAAAGAGAATATAATATGGTTTTTAATTAATTAAATGGTTGGAGGGATTTAAACCCACATATCTTGCCATGAGGGCAATATCTTCCGAATTCCTTTTATAAGAATTATTGTATATTTACCAAAATAAATTTAATTAACTTTGGCCTTGTTTGGCGAAGGCTTTCTTTTTTTGTTTTTTTCTTTTTGCTTTTTGGGCTAAAATTCATCAAAAAAAAAAGAAAGAGAAAAGAGACTAAAATAGCCAATAAGATAAAATGTCACATCAAACTCATAATCATTTCTTTTTTTTCTCTCACAAACATCAAATCCAACTACAAAAAAATCCAACCATCTTCCCAAACACAAATCTTTTAGCCTACTAAAATAACCAAAAACTAAAATAGCCAACTTCCAAACGAGGCCTTTCTTTCATATATATGATTGTTTAACATCATTTTTTATAATTTGTGCCAATTTTTTTTTCCTTTTGTAAGTAAAATTTCATTAAACAGACACCACTAAGATGGGTGTGCACATGGTAAACAAAACACAAAAGACCAAAAAGTATCCCAACTGAGTATCTTACTCGGATATACAATTCCAAAAGTCAACAAAATTGACTATAGTAAAAGGAAAATTCTCACTAAGCTAAAAATATAAAGGAAAAAAAGTGTCTTTCAAGCACAAAATAGACCTCTCACCCTATCAAAACACCTCTGATTCCTCTCATGCAATAAACACTAGATTAGGCAAAGAGGCAATTGCCTCTTATGCTCTCTGCTATCTGCCTCTTGGACAACCTCCGTTCTAATAAGCAAACAACTTCCAAACCAACAAGGCATCACCTAATCCATAACACGTAATACTGTCCCCGCACACTTCCACATGTAGCACCATCTTTTTATAGAGGAAAAAAAAAAAGATGGTGCAAGTTAACACTGCAGAAGGAAAAGACAGCCTACTATATATCAAAATACCTGGCCCTACATAGTGACGATATATTTTAGTCTAATAGTACAACAATGGCCTATCCTTAACACTTAGATAGTGTTTGGTTCATTGGAATGAAATAATTATTCTATCAAAATATTCATTCCCTTGTTTGGTTAGACCAAAAAAATAATGACAAATGCATTACAAATGGAATGACATTTCACTATTTTAAGAGAATGATCATTACAGAGGAAAGTTTAAGGAATCACAATTTCATTCAATTCCCTCTCATTCCAATGAACGAAATAGAGCATTGAGGTTCATATTTTTTACATTTCATAGAATCGAGAAAAAAAAAATCTCAAAAATAATCGAGCTAAATTTAAAATAAATAAAAAATATAAACCAGACAAACTAAACACTTACCAAACCCTTCCACATCTTTAGTTACATAATTCATCAGAAATTTGTCATTGGGCAAATTTTCATCACTGAAGTAATACTCCACCTGCATGATGACAATAATACTATCTCAATTAGCAGCTTTTAAACTTTTTGGTAAATCCATCCCTCAAGTTCCAGAACAATCAATCACCAAAGCACCAAAAATCATTAGCTTCGCAGAAATCCAATTAATAGCTTGGTCTAAATTGTAAAAGACACAAACCAGGGGAAAACCTTATATCCATTCATGAGCCATATAATTGACCCTCGTGGCATATTCAATGGCAAGATTGAGAACAGGAAAAGTGCCATCACAATTTTGCCTAATTCCTACTTTGGGCACACATTTTTGGTGATGGGAATCCCATTTATCTGGAAAAGACACCCTCAAATGGTTTCCACCACGAGTTGTATTTTGGTTTCCATATATGCATGGGAACTGAAAATTGTAATGGAAGAAGATCAAAAAGCCATCTTTTTGAGCCACTTAGAAAAAGAAAAGGAAAAGAAACAAAAAAAAGAAGTGGAGTTGACAATATTAACCCAAATCCATCTCACACACCATGTAACCAAATACAGTTTACACTACAAAAACCTCAAATGTAGAAAAATACCAATCAAAAACCCTCCTTGTCTTCATGACAATATGCTTCCGACACCTAAACACTGGAACTGGTACACCCAAAAGGAAATTCATCTTTCAAATTTATGATCTAAGAGAATCTCATGATTGTAATGGCAATTGATAGCAAGACCATTTCATAGCAACCCTTACAGACTGATAATTAGAAATGCATGTATGAATCCTTCTACGGGGTGGGTGTGAGGTCGCAATACCATTTCATAGCAACCATTACCGACTGATAATTATAAATCATAAGTTCTCCAAATAGGTTACATCACTTTAAATCTTTAATCAAAAAATGAACATTTTTAATTATATATAACATTCATTGGTCACCTGTCACCTTAAATTACAATTCCGATTCACTGTTATGGGTCTTCGGATTCATGGCGTGACAAGTAAAGCAATAATTTAAAAAATTAAAACTAAAACCCTGAAGCATTACCCTGATATTATATTGCATTCACCATATCAACTACTTTGAAATTGACTTCAAAACGCTGACTATTACAAGAAATGAGCAGTATAAAAAAACCTTACATCTGAATTCAAAATATAAACATGAATCATATATACGCTTTAAACCCTAGTCTGATTTTAAAAATAAAAAATCGTCCTTTAAACCCCACTAACATTCAAAACAGTATACAAAATGACAAATTCAAACTAAAAAATAAATAAATTAAACAAACAGTGATCGTATCAAATCCAAAGTTATGCAATACTTGTTCAACACTGCAAATACAGATGTATACGCAGATGCAAATATGCAGATAGAGAGAGAGAGAGAGAGAGAGAGAGGGATTAGTTGCCTGCTTAATGATCTTGTCTCGGAGATCATCGGTGAGAGTAGGGGTCGTATGAGGCTTTTGATCGGCGGAGGCATGGGGGGCAATTTCTTCTTCTTCTTCTTCTATATCTTCGAAGTGATGGTCGGCGATCTCAGGCGAACCGACGGGTGAGAAATCAGGATCGTGCGGCGGAGGAGTTGGAATTGCAACGGCGACAGCGGCGGCGGAGGTGGTGGTGACTCCGTCGCCTTGTTTTTTGGTTTCCTTCTTCTCCTGATTTGGTATCGGTCATGAAGCCACCATTTGATTGGCGGTGTTTGGGAACAAATTTTTTAGGTTTTTTTTTTACTAAAAGATAAATTAGTTATAAAATTTATAAAAAAAAATAAATTTAAACAAAATATTATATTAAATTTCATAATTATTTAATTTTTTCTTTCACAAATATCACATTCAACCATAAAAAAATTTAATTATTTTTTCAAACATAAAAAAAAAATTCTCTAATAATATCTTACAACTAAAAAAATTTACAAAAAAATTTACAAAAACAAACGCCCACATAAATTTTTTGACGAGCCCGTGTTTGTCATTTTCTAGGCCATGTGTGGGAAAATTTAATTTCCACTGCCATATTTATTTCAGTGCACATAATTTCTTAATATATATATTTATAAATTTAATTAGGTATTATTTATTTATTTTACACACTACACTTTTTATTATAATCTTTAATTCAAATATTGGGGGATTATCTACTATTTGGATTACAATCTAAATAGTATTCCTTATCCGTCGTTTGATTTTTTTTTAGTCCGGCCGGACTCCATGTCTTCCATATGGGGGACTATCCTGTCCTGTGGGGGTGGGATTGTTTTAGGGGACTAATCACTGTTTGGATTAGATGCGAAAATGACAATTTTGACCCTCTACTATTTAATTATGTATTATATTTAATAAAATTTAACAAAATTTAAATGTCTCAATTTAAAAATAAAATAATTTTATTTAATTTTTATTGATGTTTTATTTATTTAATTTTTTAAAATAATTTTTTATAGATATTTTATTGATGTTTTATTTTAAAATTTTGTTTATGTTTTATTTAATTTCATTGTTTAAATTTAATAGATGTTTTAATAGATGTTTTATTTAAACAATTAAATGTTTAATTTCAACAATAAATAATTTCATTTATTTAAATTATGTTTTATTTAAACATTTGTACATCAACATGTTTATTAAATTATTTCAACATCTGTACATCAACATGTATATTTATTTAACATCTATTAAATTATGTTTTAATACGTCAACATTTGATTACATTTACATTTGTTAATTGTTAATTACATCAACATTTGTTAATTGTTTAAACATCAACATTTGTTAATTGTTTAAACATAATCTGTACATCAACATTTATTTAATTATTAATTGTTAATTGTTTAAACATAATATGTACATCAAAATAATTTCAATGTTAATTGTTTAAATAAAAATTTAAACATTTAACCATTAGTATGTTTAATTTAAAAATAAAAATAATCTGTACCAGTCAAATTTTTTTATCAATATTAGTATGTTTAAATATCTTTAAACAAAATTTAACCATTAGTATGTTTAATGTTTACTAAAAATAATTAAAATATTAAAGATATGTTTAATATTGCTGTTACTTAGTAAACAATTGAAAAAGGGTAAAATAGTCTTTTGTTCATTTATCCTATCCAGTCCGTCCAACCAAACGTTGGATTCATTGAAAATAGTCATATCCAGACATCTAATCCCATGAAAAAACAAACACAGGATACATATCTAATCCGACCAAATAGTCCGGGGGATTCACAGTCCCAAGACTCAAGTCCGATGGATTCTAATCCTCCATTTTCCAGTCCATCCAATCAAACACACCCATAATACTTTCTACCCAAATACACACCCAATTTAACTTCATCTACGAATATGTATTTTTTTAACATCCATATAGTCCTAATTTTCCCCATCTTTAGGGCTTGCTTGAATGGTGTGGTTTCGACAATATAGTCCTAAAGTTTTGATGTCTATTATGATTTTTTATTTCAGAGTATTATTATCATTAAAATGAAATTTCATTAAGTCTTCGTTTGGGATGTGGATTGGTTTTTTGACTTTTTGACTATTTCAGCCTAGGGCTAAAAAGCTTGATTTGAAAAGAGCTTTTTGACTTTTTTGACTTTTTTTGTGAGAGATGAATGTAATGATTATGGGTTAGATTTGATGTTTTATTTTTTGTAGTTAAAATAGCCTATTTTATTTTTTGTGACTATTTTAACCCCTAACCTACCAAAACTAACTTCGCCTCCGTTTGGGAAGTGGGTTGGCTTTTTGGCTTTTTGGTTTTTTAGGCTATTTTAGCCTGGGCTTAAAAGCTTGGTTTGGGAAGGGCTTTTTGATTTTTTGGCTTTTTGGCTTTTTTGAGTTTTTTTTGTGAGAGAAGAATGTAATGATTATGGGTTGGATGTGATGTTTTGTTTGTTATGGCTAAAATAGCTTATTTTGTTTTTTATGGCTAAAATAGCCAAAAAAACCCAAACCATGGCTTCCCAAACAAAGCCTGTCATATAAGTGTGTTGGGTGGACTCTTAGATGCCCCCTCTAAATTTCTTATTAGACAATCTAATTTTCCGAAAATATATATAAGTATAATATATATATATATATTATATATTATATCAATCAAATTATCAAAATATTTATAATCCTAGTTCTGGCCATTCCTTCACAGCTCTAGCTAATGCCACCACGTCCGCGCAACTTTCCCCTTTTTTTTCTTTTTTTTTTAATATTTTTTGTTCATTATTCTTCTTATTCTTTCTTAAATCATGGGTGTGTGATTTTTGAATATAAGAGTGGCGTGAAAGAGGGTTGCCATGGCGAGGGGGACTGAGTCGGGGTTTAGGGTGGGAAGGGAGTTGAGTTAAGGCTTTACAATATGTTTAAATTATCTATATATGTGAATTGTGATTTTTAAATATTTTTTTTATTTTTTAAATGTCTTTTTCTTTTTTTTCTTTTTTAATATTATATTATATTTTAGATTTTGATATAATCATATGTGTTGGACTTTTCAAAAAATTAAATGTCTTTTTTTTTTATTATATTATATTAAAGTTTAGTATTTTGATAATAATCATATGTGTTGGACTTTTCAAGAAATTTTTTTTATGCTTGTTCTTAATACATTAAAATGTTATTATGAGGGATAATAATCATATATGTTGGGACTTTTCAAAGAATTTATGTGTTGGATTTCAAAAAAAATATATTTATACTTGTTCTTAATGCATTAAAGTGTTATTATGATGGTAAGACTTGGGAGTTGGGAGAAGTTAATAAATGCTAAAAAAAAAAAATTAAATCAAAAAATCAGGAAATTTAGATTTGAAGATTGGAGCTCCCACAAGGCTTGGGGTTAAAAACCCTATTTTGCTTAACATATAGTATAAACTAGCCTATCACTCGTGCTATGCACGGGATAATTATAGTTATTTATATTTATTTTAGATTTTTTTTAAAATATAAATTATGTTTTTTAAAATTTTTTATAAAAATAATTTAACAATCTTATCACTGACCATAGTGTATGAGAGAAGTTAAAAAGGGTACTGCAGTAACTATACACAAATTGTATCTATAATTATTTATATGAGGGGATTTTAAATGCTGATCAGAGGATTTTGACCAAATCAATAAATGTAAACATGTGGAAAGACATGTGGATTGAAAAAAGTTAATAAATGCTGATCAGGGGATTTTAATCAAATCAATAAATGCTGAGTTTTTTTTTAAATAAAAAATTTAAAAAATTCAGATTGGGATATTAAAGCTCCCACATGCCTTGGAGGTTAAAAACCCATTTTGCTTAATAAATAGTAAGTATAGATTATCTTGTCCATAATTTTAAAAAGTAATAAAATTATATTTTATGTAATAATTCTTTTTAGAAAAAAATAGTGAAATATCTCCTCACCAACTTTACATAGTAGGAAAAATCCAAGATTTTTTTTTTTATTAGTTAAGGTCCCTCAACATTTTTACATAGAAAATTTGACTCAAAGAAATTTCAATTTTCGCGGATAAATTTATGTGAAAATTGAAATTTCTCTAAATTAGGACAAATTTATCTGAGTCGAATTTTTTCTGTGAAAATGTTGAAATAGCTTAACTACTATGAAAATATTATATGTCATTTATCTTATAAGATCTTAATATCATGGACCTTAAAAAAATCCATTTTTTAATACAATTGCATAGGAAAAATTATTCAAAAATCCCATAACAGAATCAGTAACACCATTTAGTCCCACTTATTTACATTTGCGCTGGTAGATCCCATCAGTGGTAACGTGATAATCGCTAGGTCCTGATTTGATTTCAATTATGTTGTTATGGACATTTGTACCCTTTCTTTTTTATGGGTCACACAATTTCAGGAAACCCATCACACTCAGACACACACCCTTGTGCGCAAACTCAGTCGCACAACACATATAACACCCACATAACAATGGACATTCATCATGACACAACCCAATACTCATACCCACACACAATCCATAATCAATTACACACAGTGTAACAAACAAACCATCCCAAATGACAATCACATAGCGCACACACACAATCAACACCCCCATACTGTTTTCTGCGATATATGCACATTGAAGACCCCACCATTTAACACTCCCAACGTGATGATTCAAGCAAAATCACTTACACTTGTTGACCATTCCCACAAATGGACTGCCGCATCACGTCTCTGCTCCGTCCGACACACCCTTAACACATTGACGACCGTCGGAAACCCTACCTATCGTCTCCTTCGCAAAGAACACCAAATGCGATGCCCAACCAACAACAACACACAATAAATCCTCAAATATGTCACATATATCCCAAATCACCAAATATGTGAGATTCACATTCGTTCAAATCAGTATCAAACAAACAGTGATAGCAACATTACAGGGATTTGACAACAATTAGGTTCTGAAATTTAGTGCTTAAATTGGGGCTTCCATATTACCCAATTGGGCGTAAAAAACAAGTCGAGTTACGCCTGGTATGTCACACCGTCACATCGTCACACATCTGGAAGGGTATAGAAACTACCACAAAACTTTTGCCAACGTGACACCCAAACACGTCCTATTCCAAACGAAATACCAACAGCTTAATCGACACACACATGCAAAATGAGGGCACTTTAGTAAACACACGTGAAGTAGGACCAAATTGATTAACAAATATCTTTTAGGACTGCCTGGACCACCCTTTCACATTTTGGGATTTATTGGTAACTTTCCCAATATTTAATCATAATTAATTAATATTGTGTGAGTGATTTTCTGACCCCGCTGCCAACTCAATAATCAGTTGGAGAAAACTGGCAGAACAGATGGCACCTGGCCGACCTGTAGCAGAAAGAAAAGATTCCAGCGGTGGTTCGTCCACCCGGGGGCACTCCGACGATCAAGTCAGGCCTCGTTTGGGATGCTACCTTTTTAGCCAATTAGCCAAAAAGTTACTAAATTAGCCAATTAGCCAATTAGTCATACCAAAAAGTCAACAATTACGGCTTCTCTCTACTTTTTGCACAGCTTTTCGTAATTAGTCAAAAAGTCATCCCAAACATACAAGTTTTTTTTACCTACATTTTTAGCCAATTAATCAAAAAGTTACTAAATTAGTCTGTTCCCAAACGAGGCCTCGGTATATCTCTCAAAGATAATTAATAGTGCTAAACTCACTGTTCAGAATATAAATTGCATACCTTAGGCCCATCGGGAGTGCCTTTCTTTTATAGTTACCTCACTCTTAGACCCCATAGAAGCCTAGCTTCAATGGACTTCTGTTCAGTGCTTTTCCTAGACTCTCCAATAAATAAAGATAAACTCCCTAAGAGTGTTATCCTTATCCATGCTAAAGTCATTTCTCATTCTAGGACTCTTGTCCCTTATCCGCTTATCCCGAATTCTGATAGCTTCGTAGATAACTTCGGTCTTGCTGAGATCACCTCGGCATCATAACCCGGACACATGGCAGGCTAACATCAGGTCTGCTTGGGCGACCGAGCTCCTTAATTAGACAACCGAGGTGGTTTGGCACCCTTACTGACCGAGCTGAAGCCTAGCTCCTATTTTGAAACCACGCTCACTTACACTTGCCATCCTTTTCCTGCAGAGTCCAAGGGGACCACTGTCATTCCTGAACCTCTCAGGACCGAGCTGCAGCAATTTATCACCGTGCCCAACCCATCAACCGGGCTATAGTAAGTCGGCCACAAATGGGGAAGTTCCGCTTCCTTGTGGATACTCCGGCCGCGCTAGCCGCTTTCAGAGAGGACTACGGCGTCCCGGCCGATGTCCATCTCGAGCTGGCCGAAGAAGAGACCACGCCTTGGGGTAGGGAGGAATGCCCCTTCACCGTGCTGTCCATTGTCGAAGGGGGCCTTCGTTTTCCTCTTAACCCACTGATTACCGAGTTCTTACGCCGAACCGGGCTAGCATCAACCCAAGTGTCCACCAACACATACAGGATAATAAACGGCGTTCATGAGCTGAACAACCGGTTAGGCATTAGCCTAGGTCTAGCCGAGGTCCTACGCCAATACACTTTGGGCCACACCGGCGACGGTCTCGCCTATTACCTCAAGATTAGACCGGGCAGAGAGAAAATCGTGACCGGCACACCAGACAAGGATCTTCACGACGATGATTTCTTCTGGGTGTCTGGTAACTACGAGACAGCCGAGGTACCGGGATGGATGATTAGCAAAAATTTTGGGAGCACATGTAAGCCGTGCAAATTATCTCGATTTATATACTTGACATTTCTGTAGACTAATGATTCTCTTGTTTCTTTTGCAGCCATCCAAGCCTTGCAAGCCAACTACAATTTCCCCAACGTAGAGGCAATCAGGACCGCGCTTCGCTACCGCGACCGAGATTGTAACCAGTTGCTCAGCTACAATCCCACATATAGATACTCTGCTCCCCGCCGGAGTAAGGTCACCGACTTCCTCCGAGCTCCAACACCTCCACCGGATCCTACTCTGCCAGACGTGCCCCTCGTTCGCCTGACCGAGGAACAAGAGATGGCCAAGCGCAGCAGAATCAAGAACCTGCTCACCGCCACATCCGCCGAGCTGCCGAGCGTTGCAACTCGCTCACCCGTCGCCGGTCAATCCAGTGGCGCTGTGGTCGCCCTTGCCTCTCAACCGACCGGTCAATCCAGCCAAGAACCCTCTGCACGGCGCGCCGGGAAAAGGGCTCGGGCAGACCCATCCGCCGAGTTAGTCGCCGAGCTAACTACCGAGCACCCGACTGACGCCCCCGCCCCAATACCGGCCTGGCGTCCCCAGTTGAAACACCAGGGTCAGGACATCCCGGCAACGGCCTCGATCAAGGCTGACAAAGAGCATCTGCTCGCCTTTGATCTGTCCAAAGCATTCCTACTACCGAGCGACGTGGTCGGCAGTGACCACGTCCCTGACACTCGGTTGGTCAAGTCATCCATGAAGTCCATGGCCAGGGTAAGTCAATGCAGCTCTGAAAATTTCCCAAGTGTTTGCCCGGTTCTGCTTCTAATCAACTTTGTTTTTTGCAGGCCATTCAAAAACAACACCTGGTTTTGGAGCGCATCCACCGGCTTAGGCAAAAGGCAAACGACACAGCCAGCCAGGTAGAGAGCCTTCAAGCCGAGCTCGGCCGGGCTAAGGCTTCCCTCCAGATAGCAAACGCTGACAATAACAAACTGCTCGGTCAGCTGAACACAGCCGAGAAAAAACAAAGTGAGCTCCAGGCCGAGGTTAACACCTTGAAGAAGACGAAGAGGAAAGCTTGCCGGGCTGCCAACAACGCCGGGTTCAACGAGGCCTAGCAGAGCTACAAGAAGCAGGTCTTTGCAACACAAGACATCTACTTCAAGGCCGGTTGGAAGTCCGCCTGCGAACACCTCGGCCAAGGCTCCGACACCGACGTATTTGCCAACCCTCCTCCAGCTTCGCTACCGGTCTACCTCGTGCCTTATGCAAACGACGTCTTCAGCGCTTTGCAGGCTGAGGCCGAGGAAGGACTCGAAGAAGGAGACGGGGAGAGGGAGACAGATTCTGAGGAAGAAGAGGCCGAGGTGCCTGAGCAGCCCGGCAACGATGAGCCCGGCGCCCAAGAAGCAAGCCAAGCTATTGACCTTGATGCTGATGCTGCCGAGGATGCGTTCACCAATCTTTTCCCCTTAGTTTAGGTTGCTTTTACCTTGTTTTTGTATTTTTGCTATCAACTCTTTTGATGTAACCGGGCTCTGTTCCCTCCGTTTTGTAATGAATTTCTTATCAATGAAAATTCAAATTTTTGCAAGTGTATGCACGGTTGTAATCAGTTCTGTCTTCAGCAAAACATCTCGGTATAACTCATCGTTTGAACACTTTATCGACCGGAATACATAACACGGTCGAAGCACTTCAGCAGAACAAGACCAATTTATGAACCGAAATAGCCACCTCGGCTGTAACAAAGTCGAACAAATCAACACTTCCAACCGGAGTAGGTTGGGAGTCCTAAGTTGGACAAGACACCAACTCTTCCAACCGGAGTACATCATCTCGGTTGGGAATCCTAAGTTGTACAAAACACCAACTCTTCCAACCGGAATACACCATCTCGGTTGGGAATCCAAAGTTGGACAAAACACCAACTCTTCCAACCGGAATACACCATCTCGGTTGGGAGTCCTAAGTTGGACAAGACACCAACTCTTCCAACCGGAGTACATCATCTCGGTTGGGAATCCTAAGTTGGACAAGACACCAACTCTTCCAACCGGAGTACTCCACCTCTGTTGGGAATCCAAAGTTGGACAAAACACCAACTCTTCCAACCGGAGTACATCATCTCGGTTGGGAATTCTAAGTTGGACAAAACACCAACTCGTCAACCCGGAGTACATCATCTCGGTTGGGCATCCTAAGTTGGACAAAACACCAACTCTTCCAACCGGAGTACATCATCTCGGTTGGGAATCCTAAGTTGGACAAGACTATAATAAATCCAACCGGAACACATCATCTCGGTCCGTAACATTAAAACAATAATCCAAGTGCTAAAGCAAAATTACTTCTATAATTTGACAAAAAGAATTACATTCTGCTTTGCAAGCCAAAAAATTTCTTTACAAAAAGAGGAAAGTAAAACTTAAAAATAATACAATTTCAAGTTGGCCGCATTCCATGGCCGGGGTATGGCTCTTCCCTCTAGATCCTCCAAGTGGTAAGCCCCCTTGCCAGCCAGACCAGTGATCTTGTAGGGTCCTTCCCAATTTGCCCCTAGTTTGCCTTCTCCTGGCACCAGGGTGTTGCCCATAATCTTCCTCAAAACCCAATCCCCAACTTTGAACGGTCTGGGGTGCACTGTCTTGTTATACTTCTTGGAGAGCTCTTGTTGGTAGGCGGCCACATGGATGAGGGCTTTCTCCCGGCGCTCGTCCGCTAGGTCCAGCTCCACGGCGGGCCGGGAAAAGAGCTCGGGTAGATCCGTCCGCCGAGCTAGTCATCGAGCTCGCCACCGAGCATCCCACGGACGCCCCCGCCCCAGTGCCAGCCTGGCGCCCACATCTGAAGCACCGGGGTCAGGACATCCCGGCGACGGCTTCGATCAAGGCTGACAAAGAGCATCTGCTCGCCTTTGATTTGTCCAAAGCATTCCTACTACCGAGCGACGTGGTTGGCAGCGACCACGTCCCTGACACTCGGTTAGTCAAGTCATCAGTAAAGTCCATGGCCAGGGTAAGCCAATGCAGCTCTGAAAATTTTCCTAAGTGTTTGCCCGGTTCCGTTTCTCATCAACTTTGTTTTTTGCAGGCCATTCAAAAACAACATCTTGTTTTGGAGCGCATCCACCGGCTTAGGCAAAAGGCAAACGACACAGCCAGCCAGGTTGAGGGCCTTCAAGCCGAGCTGGGCCGGGCTAAGGCTTCCCTCCAGATAGCCAACGCTGACAATAACAGACTGCTCGGCCAGCTGGAGGCGGTCGAGAAAAAACAAAGTGAGCTCCAGACTGAGGTGGACACTTTTAAGAAGACGAAGAGGAAAGCTTGCCGGGCTGCCAACAATGCCGGTTTTAACGAAGCCGAGAAGAACTACAAGAAGCAAGTCTTTGCAACACAAGACATCTTTTTCAAGGCTGGCTGGAAGTCCGCCTGCGAGCACCTCGGCCAGGGCTCCGACACCGATGTATTTACTAATCCTCCTCCCGCCAAGCTACCGGTCTACCTCGTGCCTTACGCAAATGATGTATTCAGTGCGCTTCAAGCGGAGGCCGAGGAGGGGCTTGAAGAAGGAAGTGATGAGACAGATTCGGAGGCTGAAGACGCCGAAGTGGAAGTGCAGCCCGGTCAAGTTGAGCCCGGTGCCCAAGAAGCGAGCCCAACCATCAACCTTGAGGCTACCGAGGATGAATTCACCAATCTATCCCCCTTGGTTTAGTTTTCTTTTCTTTGTATTTTTGCTTTCAATACTTTTGATGTAGCCAGGCTCTGTCCCCACCTTTTGTAATGAATTTCTTTATCAATGAAAGATTTAATGAATTTCTTATCAATGAAATTTCAAATTTTTGCAAGTGTATGTACGGTTGTAATCAGTTCTATCTTCAGCAAAACATCTCGGTATAACTCATCGAACCGGAATACATAGCACGGTCTAAGTACTTCAGCAGAACGAGACAAATTCATGAACCGAAATAGCCACTTTGGCTGTAACTAAGTTGAACAAATCAACACTTCCAACCGGAGTACATCATCTCGGTTGGGTATCCAAAGTTGGACAAGACACCAA